CACAGAAGAGCAGTGGGCCACAAACCCTCAGAGTGGAGGGCGCAGCTCACACCTGATGCCCGTGGGCCAGGGACTCAGAAAAGTGATTTTTGCTTTTGCGTCTGTTTATGTGTTGTATCACATTTATTGACTTGCACATGTTAAATCATCCCTGCATCCCTGGTAGGAAACCCACTTAATCATGGTAGATTATCTTTTAAATATGCTGTTGGATTTGGTTAGCTGGTATTTTGTTGTGGATTTTTGCATCTATGTTCATTAGGGACATTGGTCTAGCCAGAGCAATCAGACAAGAGAAAGAAATAAATGGCATCCAAAGGGTAAAGAAGAAGTCAAATGGTCACCATTTGATGATACGATCATATACTTAGAAAACCCTAAAGACTCATCCAAATAGCTCCTAGATCCAATAAACAAATTCAGTCAAATTTGCACAAAATCAATGTACACAAATCAGTAGCTCTGCTATACACCAGCAGCAACCAAGCTGAGAATCAAATCAAGGACTCAATCCCTTTTACAATAGCTGCAAAACAAAAAATAAAATACTTAGGAATATACCTAACCAAAAACGTGAAAGACTTCAACAGAGAAAACTACAAAACACTGCTGAAAAAAATCATAGAAGACACAGTCAAATGGAAACACATTCCGTGTTCATGGATGGTAGAATTAATATAGTGAAAATGGCCGTACTGCCAAAAGCAATCTACAAATGCAATGTGAGTCCCATCAAAATGGCATCATCATTCTTCACAGAACTAGAAAAACCAAACTGAAAATTCATATAGAATCAAAAAGATTCTGCACAGCGAAAGCAAGCCTAACCAAAAAGAACAAATCTGGAGGCATCACACTACCTGACGTCAAACTATACTACAACGCTATAGTCAGCTAAACAACGTGAAACTAGTATAAAAATCGGCACATATACTTATGGAACAGAATAGAGAACCAATAAATGAAGCCAAATACTTAGAACCAACTGATCTTTGACAAAGCAAACAAAAACATAAAGTGGGGAAACAACACCCTATTCAACAAATGTTGCTGGGATAATTGGCAAGTCACATGTAGAAGAATGAAACTGGATCCTCATCTCCACCTCACACAGAAATCAACTCAAGGTGGATCAAAGACTTAAATCTAAAACACGGTACCATAAAAGTTCTAGAAAATAACATCAGGAAAACTCTGTTAGACATTGGCTTAGGCAAAGAGTTCATAACCAACAACCCAAAAGCAAATGCAACAACAACAAAGATAAATAGATGGGATTGAATTAAACTAAAAAGCTACGCACAGAAAATGAAATCATCAGCAGAGTAAACAGAAAACTCACAGAGTTGGAGAAAATATTCACAAACTATGCATCTGAAAAAACACTGATATCCAGCATTCACCCACCAAAAAGCAGGCTAAGAACATGAACAGACAATCTCAAAAGAAGATATACAAATAGCCAACAAACATGAAAAAATGTTCAACATCACTAATCATCAAAGAAATGTAAATCAAAACCACTATGAGCTACCACATTATTCCTGCAAGAATGGTCATAATCAAAATGTAAAAAAAATAGATGTTGGTGTGGATGTGAAGAAAAGGGAACAATTTTACATTTCTGACAGGAATATAAACTAGCACAACCACTATGGGAAACAATATGGAGATTGTTTAATGAACTAAATGTAGATCTACCATTTGATCCAGCAATCCCACTCCTGGGTATGTAGCCAGAGGAAAAGAAGTCATTATATGAAAAAGATACTTGCATACGCATGTATATACCAGCACAATTTGCAACTGCAAAAATATGGAACCAGCCTAACTGCATATATATATACACATACCATGGACTACTACTCAGCCATAAAAAGGAGTGAAATAATGGCATTCATAGCAACCTGGATGGAGTTGGAGACCATTATTCTAAATGAAGTAACTCAGGAATGGAAAACCAAACATCATATGCTCTCACTTATAAGTGGGAACTAAGCTATGAGGATGGAAAGATGTAAGAATCATACAGTGGACTTTGGGAATTCAAGGGGAAGGGCAAGAGGGAGGTGAGGGATAAAAACCTACACATTGTGTACAGTGTACACCACTCGGGTGATGGGTGCACCAAAATCTCAGAAATCACCACTGGAAAACACTTATCTATGTAACCAAACACCACCTGTTCCCCAAAAACCATTGAAGTAAAACCATAATTCACAAAAATAAAATAAATAAAAATTTTAAAATGAAAAATGAATTGTTTTCAAAAGAAATGAACACTTGCATAGTTTTTGTGTAATGTGAAAGATGAATACCCGCAGTTACATGAAAAAGCTGTTAAAATCCTCCCAGTCTGGGCATGGTAGCTCCCACATGTAGTCCCAGCTAATGGGAAGGCTGAGGGGGGAGAATTCTTTGAGCCTAGAAGTCCCAGTCTTCAGTGAGTTGTGATGGCGCCACTGCACTCCAGCCTGGATAACAGAGTGAGACAGTGTCTCTAAAACAACAACAATAATAATAATCCTCCCTTTTTCAACTTAATATTTGTATAAGGCTAGATTTTTTAAAAATACACCCTTCAATCAAAATAACAGAATGGCTGGGATGCAACTAGAGGCCATAATCCTAAGTGAATTAATGTAGGAACAGAAAATCAAATACTGCGTCTTCTCACTTATCATTGGAAGCTAAACACTGAGCACACATGGACATAAACGTGGGAACAACAACACTGCAGATGACTAGAGTGGGGAGGGTGGGGACATGGGTTGAAAAACTACCTATGGGTATATGCTCACTACCCGAATGACAGGACCCATGCCCCAAACCTTGGCAGCAGACAACATATCCATGTTGCAAACCTGCACGTGTACCCCCATATCTAAAATAAAAGTTAAAATTTAAAAAAAGGAGAACATATCATATGAGACAAACAAGAATGACAGTTGCAAAAATGTGAAATGATCACTCTTCTTGTTATCAAAAATCTATCAGAGGCCTTCAAACCAGAGCGACTCCATCTTGAATGAGGGCTAGGAAGAATGAGGCTAGGACTTGCTGGGCCGCATTCCCAGGTTAGGCATTCCTAGCCTCTAGCTTATGGTTAAGGGAACAGATTGATAATGTTTACTGAATAGACCAGACTCAAGAATGTCCTGATATTCTGATATCTTGAGAACAGATGCCTTCCTAATTTTGCTTTAAAGATAATAATATCTATTCTTTTTTTTGTTTGTTTTTGTTTGTTTGTTTGTTTGTTTTGAGATGGAGTCTTGCTCTGTCACCAGGCTGGAGTGCAGTGGTGCAATCTCGGCTCACTGCAACTTCTGCCTCCTGGGTTCAAGCAATTCTTCCACCTCAGCCTCCCGAGTAGCTGGGACCACAGGCGCGTGTCACCACGCATGACTAATTTTTTTGTATTTTTAGTAGACACAGGGTTTCACCATGTTGGCCAGGATGGTCTCAATCTCTTGACCTCGTGATCCGCCCACCTCGGCCTCCCAATAATACCTATTCTTACAAAATATAGTAATCTTAAAAAATTAATCCTTTATTACAAGTCTTTGTAGTAGAGCACATCTCCCCATGATTTTTGTTATCCTATATATAAACATGCATTGTACCTAGGATGCGTGTGTTCCTCCTCTTCCTTTCCAGAATGACCTGCTCTGCATAAAGTAGCTGTTCGTTCACTCCTTTTCTTTCTTAATGAACTTGCTTTCAGCTTGCACTGTGGACTTGGCCCGATTCTTTCCTGTGCGGCATCTAAGAACCTTGTCTTGGGGTCTGGATTGTAGCTTCTTTCTGGTAACAGCTCCAGAAGGTGGGATCTTTCCCCATTGGGAGTTGCAGAGCCAATACATGAAACCAAAATTGAGCATCAAGCAGAACAAGTTTTATTTCCTGGCCAGGAAATGAAAAGGTGGGAACAGCTCTGGCAAATCAACTTCTCAGCTAGCAAATGGGGAGGGGGTAGAAATATAGGTTTGCTCTAATGAAGGGGTTGGGAATTAAAAATAAGGGGAGGAATGATCATGTATTTTATGGGAAGAGGGGGCGGGTGAACTTCTCTGAACCAGTAATACTGCCTTCCTTTTTATCCTTTTAGGACTTCTTCCAGTCAATGTTATGGAGATTGCCGATTGTCATCGTGCTGGTGAGAGTGCCATTTAGCACAGAAACAGGATCATAATGAAGCCTGAGATCTTTTTTAGGTCGTTCGGCCAGCTATCTTCATTCTAACCAGTTTCAGCTGGTTTGATTGCAAAAGGAACTTCTTGAAGCAGGTCCGATTTTTCAAAGTTAAGTAGAGTTAAGTCCAGGTGCAGTGGCTCAAGCCTGTAGTCCCAGCACATTGGGAGGTAGAGGCAGGCAATCGCTTGAGCCCAGGAGTTCCAGACCACCCTCAACAATATGGTGGAACTCCATCTCTACAAAACATTCAAAAATCAGTTGGGCGTGGTGGCGTGGGCCTGCGGTCCCAGCTACACAGGAAGCTGAGGTTGGAGACCAAGATATCAAGGCCTGAGCCCAGGAGATCAAGGCTCCAGTGAACTAAGATTCCACCACTGCACTGCAGCCTAGCCAACAGAGTGAGATCCTGTCAAAACAAACAAACAAAAAATCCCCACTGATTTAAACAGTTCCTGGGCCAGATCTCAGGGAGATAGTGTGACAAAGAGCACTCAGGGCAGGAGGAAAAGGAACAGGACAAAGTTCCGGGTCCCCGGGCGTGGCTCTCAGGGTCTCAGACCCTGAGGGCAGAGTCTGGGGATTGGGAAACCCAGCGTTGAGGATTCCACACTCCCAGGAGTTTCACTTCTTGCTCCCCAAACTGGTGTCGGGTCCTTCTTCCTGGACTTCTAGGCTTTAGTTCTCATTCCCATTGGATGTCAGGTTTCTAGAGAAGCCAATCAGCGTCACTAAGATTCCCGGCTATAAAGTCCCCATGCACCCACCAGGACTCAGACCCTCCCCAGAACCTAAGGATGGGGGTCATGGCGCCACGAACCCTCCTGCTGCTGCTCTCCACGGCCTTGCTGCTGACCAAGACCTGGGTGGGTGAGTGCGGGGTTGGGAGGAGCAAGGGGCCCGCCCAGGGGGGATGCAGAACCCTGGGAAACCGCATCAATGCCCCCTCTCCCGCCCCAATCCCTTCCCGCCCGTCCCCTTCCCCTACTTTGCCCTTCAGGGGGGGCTCGGGCCAGACTCCGCCCCTCCTTGCCCGCAGAATCCCACTCTTTGAGGTATTTCTACACCGCCGTGTCCCGGCCCGGCCGCGGGGAGCCCCTCGTCATCGCCGTGGGCTACGTGGACGACACGCAGTTCGCGCGATTCGACAGCGACGCCGCGAGTCCAAGGATGGAGCCGCTGGGGCCGTGGGTGGAGAAGGAGGGGCCGGAGTATTGGGAGGAGGAGACACAGACAGCCCTGGACACCGAACAGAATTTCCGAGTGGAACTGCGGACCCTGCTCCGCTACTACAACTATAGCGAGGCCGGTGAGTGACCCCGGCCCTGTGCGCCAGCATTCACACTTTTGTAAAGCGCCTGTGACAATGAAGAACAGATTTACCACCTTCATGACTGTGGTAATGGGGATCTGATTCCAGCAGTCACAGTTCAAGGGGAGGTCCGTGCTGAGGACAGACTTCAGGAGGGCAGTTGGTGCAGGACCCACATCTTTCTTCATGTTCCTGATCCTGCCCTGGGTCTGCAGTCCCAGTTCTGGACACTTCTCTGGGGTCTAAGCCTGGGGGATTCCTCTAGGATCTCATGGTCCTGCCTCCTCCCTGGTCACGACCCTTCCTCATCCCCTACAGACGGCCTGGGTCCCCTCGAGGCTCCGGATCCAAGATCCACCTTGAGGCTGTGGGACCCGCCTAGACGGACCCTCCACCCACCCAAGTGAGCTGCAGGCTCCTTTACCCGGTTTCATATTCAGCTTAGGCCAAAATCCCCGAGGGTTGGGGGGCAGGGGCGGGGCTGACCGCGGGGGCGGGGTCCGGGGGCGGGGCTGACCGCGGGGGCGGGGCCCAGGGGCGAGGCTGACTGCGGGGACCGGGCCAGGGTCTCACACCTACCAGGGAGTGTTTGGCTGCGACCTGGGGCCCCACGGGCGCCTCCTCCGCGGGTATTACCAGTTCGCCTATGACGGCAAGGATTACATCTCCCTGAATGAGGACCTGCGCTCCTGGACCGCCGCGGACCTGGCGGCTCAGATCACCCAACACAAGTGGGAAGCACAGAAACACGCGGAGGAGGTCAGGGCCTACCTGGAGGGCACGTGTGTGGAGCGGCTCCGCAGATACCTGAAGAACGGGAAGGAGGCGCTGCAGCGCGCGGGTAAGAGGGGCCACGGCAAATCTCCCATCTCCTTCTTAGGCTGGAACTGTGCCCACAGCTGATAGATCTCAAAGAATAGAAGAAACAGGGAAAGAGGCCAGAATGCCACTCCTTCCTTGGATCAGGAGAGGGAGCTGTCACCCTGGGTACAGGAGATCCTGTACCAAAGAGGGACTCTTAAAAGGGCCAGCCCCTCTCAGGGGCAATTAAGGAATCTAGTCTCGCTGGAGAGTCCATCCTTCAAATGAACTGGTCAGCAGTTCTCTTTGACTCTCCGTATTAGGGATCATGGGGGACTTTCTCTCCTGCCTGGTTCTCAGCCCCACACCAAGTGTCTGTGGAGGTTTGACTTCAGCTTTTCTCAGTCACTCAGCATCCGCGCAGGCCAGGACCAGAAATCCCTTTTCTCTTTCTATCCTGGGCCATCTCACCCTAGTTCTAGAACTTTCCAAGGAATAAGAGGCTATCCCAGACCCCTAAGTCCAGGCTGGTATCTAGGTTTTGTGCTCTCCTACTCTAATTGTCTTCTTCGTTCTCAAGATGGTCACAAAGGCACTGCTGGACTGTCCCATGAGAGATGCAAAGTGCCTGAATTTTCTGACTCTTCCTCTCAGATCCCCCAAAGGCACATGTGACCCACCACCCCCTCTCTGACCATGAGGCCACCCTGAGGTGCTGGGCCCTGGGCTTCTACCCTGCGGAGATCACACTGACCTGGCAGCGGGATGGGGAGGACCAAACTCAGGACATGGAGCTTGTGGAGACCAGGCCAGCAGGGGATGGAACCTTCCAGAAGTGGGCGGCTGTGGTGGTGTCTTCTGGAGAGGAGCAGAGATACACGTGCCACGTGCAGCACGAGAGGCTGCCAGAGCCCCTCACCCTGAGATGGGGTAAGGAGGGGAATGGGGTAAGGAGGGGATGGGGGCTCACATCACTTCTCCAGGAGAGCAGAAGCCCGTCTGCATCCCTTCAACAGGGTCAGGGCTGAGGCCTGGGGGTCAGAGCCCCTCACCTTCCCCTCCTTTTCCAGAGCCATCTTCCCAGCCCACCATTTCCATCGTGGGCATCGTTGCTGGCCTGGTTGTCCTTGGAGCTGTGCTCACTGGATCTGTGGTCGCTGCTGTGATGTGGAGAAGAAAGAACTCAGGTAGGGAAGGGGTGTAAGGTGGGGTCTGAGTTTTCTTATCCCACTGGGAGTTTCAAGCTCCAGGTAGAGATGTGCCCTGCCTTGTTACTGGGAAGCACCAGCCTGGGGCCCTGTGTACCAGCACTTACTCTTTTGTAAAGCACCTGTGACATTGAAGGACAGATTTATCACCTTGATGACTGTGGTGATAGGGACCTGATTCCAGCAGTCACAGGTCACGGGATTGTCCCTGCTGAGGACAGAACTCAGAAGGGCAGTTGGTCCAGAACCCACATCTCCTTTCTTCATGTTCCTGATCCTGCCCTGGGTCTACAATCACGGTTCTGCAAACTTCTCTGGGATCCAAGGCCTGGGGTTTCCTCTAGGACCTCATGGCCCTGCCTCTTCCCTGGCCTCTCACAGGACATTTTCTTCCTACAGATAGAAAAGGAGGGAGCAACTCTCAGGCTGCAGGTAAGTATGAAGGAGGCTGATCCCCGAAATCCTTGGAATATTGTGGTCAGGAGCCCATGGGGGAGTTCACCCATCCCACAATTCATTTTCTAGCCACATCTCCAGTGGGCTCTGACCAGGTCCTGTTTATTTTTTCCTCCTTTTTTTATTTTATGGAATTTCAGTGGTTTGTGTTTGGTTTTGGTTTTGTTTTGAGACAGGATCTGGTTCTGTTGCCTGGGCTGGAGTACAGTGGCAAAATTTTGGGTCAAGCGCTCCTCCCACCACAGCCTCCCAAGAAGCTGAGATTTCAGGCACATGCTACCACATTTGGCTAACTTTTGTATTTTGTTGTGGAGATGGGGTTTCACCATGTTGCCCAGGCTGGTCTGGAATTCCTGAGCTCAAGCAAATCTTCCTGCACCCCAAAGTGCTGGGATGAGCTCAAGCTGGTGCATGAGCCACCAAGCTTGGCCAGGTCCTTTTTTTGTTCTACCCAGACAGTAATGGTGCCCAAGGCTCTGGTGTGTCACTCAAGGCTTATAAAGATAAAACCCTTGAGGGACTGAAGTGGGTTCGGGGTGGGACAGAGGGAATAGGAATGTGTCATGGGGATTTACTGATTTGGAATTTTTGATTGTGTGATGGGCTGTTTAGAGTGTCACCACTTACCATGAGTGGCCTGAATTTGTTCATGACTATTTTTCTGTCACCTGAGACAACTGCCTTGTGAGGAACAGAGATGTAGGATTTCTTCACGCCTTCCCTTTATGACTTCAAGAGATTCTGACTTCTCTTTCTGCAAAGGCGTCTGAATATATCTGGGTCCCTGTTAGCATAATGTGAGGAAGTGGAGAGACAGTCTGCCCTCTTGCCTACCATGACCCCTTTCCTCACACTGACCTGTGTTCCTTCCCTGTTCTAGAGGTGTGTGGCTAACATGTCCCCATCCCTGTCTCAACATCATAGTACACTGAGCCACAGCCTCTTACTTTTCTGTTAAAAATAGGAACCTGGGTCTCAATTTATTTTTTCATGTTCATGTGATGAAATTGAGTTGAGGAAGCTAAGGTCATAGCTGGAAATACAGACACATAATTCCACAGCACATCTCTAGCAATTTTAGCCTATTTCATTTTCTAGCCTATTCCTTACCACCTGTAGTCTTGACCATATCCCTTGGGGTTGAATATTGTTTTTATGTTACTTTTGTTTGAATGTTCTCTCCAATACTCATGTTAAGACTTAATCTCTAATGTGGCAATACTAAAAGGTGGAGCTTTTAAGACATGATTGGATCATAAGTCTCTGTCTTCATTCACAGATTAATGGATTAATGGGTTATCACAGGAATGGGACAGGTGGCTTTATAAGGAGAAGAGCGACCAGAGCTAGCATACCAAGCCCCCTTGCCATGCAATGCCCTGCACCTCCTCAGGAATCTGCAGAGACCCCATCAGCAAGAAGGTTCTCACCAGATTCAGCCCCTCAACCTTGGACTTCCCATTCTTCAGAACTATGAAAAATAAATTTCATTTCTTTATAAATTACCCAGTATCATATATTCTGTTAAAAGCAACAGAAAATGGACCAAGGCAGGAAATTGATCCTAAGAAGTAGGGTGTTGCTGATAACAAATACATAAAGACATGGATTCAGCTTTGAAACTGAGTAATGGGTAGACGCTGGAAGAATTTGGAGGAGCAGGAAGCCTAGATTCTGGTGAGGGATTAGAAGACAAGAAGTCTGGAGAAAGCTTCAAATTCCTTAGAGACTTATTACATGGTCATGACCAGAATGTTGATAGAAATGTAGACAATAAAGACCGTTCTGATGAGGTTTCAGATGAGACTGGGGAACAAAGTATTGGAAATGGAACTAAAGGCCAACCATGTTATAAATTCACAAAGAACTTGGCTGAACTCTGTCCATACCCAAGCGCTTTGTGGAAGGCCAAAGTTTAGAGTGATGAACTAGCATATCTGACAGAAGAAATTTCTAGGCAAAATATAAAAGCAGCTGCTTGGTTACTTTTGGCTACTTACACTGAGATTCAGGAGCAAAGAAATAAAGACAGAATGTGTAATTAAAAAGGAAGCAGAGCAGAAAGATTTGGAAAACCAAACCTGGCCATGTGAAAAGCGGAAAGGCATGTTCAGGGAAGGAAACCAAGAATATAGCTCAGTGGCCATTTGTTAAAGAGCAAGGGATAGAAGACAACCAGATGCTCTTTCTCAAGAGAATGGAAGACCTTGAAGGCATTTCAGAAATCTTTGAGGCTGCCCCTCCTATCACAGGCCAGAGGCCTAGGAGGAGAGAATGGTTTCCGGGGAGAGGCTCTCTCCAGGAGCTCACTGCCCAGGACCACCTTGGGACCCTGCTCTCTACACCCCAGCACAGTACTCACTCAGTTGTCACCCCAGCAGTGGCCCTAGCTGTGGCTTATGCCATGGCTCCATAAGGTACAAATCATAGACCTTGGTAGTCTGCATGGGATGCTAACTCTGCAGCCTTGCAGAAAGTAAGAGCAGTAGAAGCTTCCTCCACTCAGATTTCAAAGATGTCTTGGAAGTCCTGGAAGACTAGGCAGAGACTTGTTGCAGAAGTGAAGGCACAACAGAGAACCTCCATTAGAGTGATGCCAAGTAGAAATGTGAGGTGGAGCTGCCACAGAGAGCCTCTACCAGGGAAATGTCTAGTGGCGTCATGGAAGCCAGGTCACCAGAGAGAGTGCCTTGTAGAGTGGTGAGAGCAGGACCTGATCTCCACCACGACCCAACCACCAGCAGGACCCCAGAACTGGAGTCATTAGCAGTGTGCAATGCCCACTTCAGAAAGCTTCAGGCATCAGCCTCCAACCCATACTAGGAGTCACATGGGCTGCACCAAGCTAAGCCACAGACACAGGGCTACCTGAGGCCTTGGGACCCAACACCTGCTCCAGTGTGTCTAAAGGAAACACATGGAGTTGAAAAAGATGATAATACACTTCCCATACACACTGTTTCTGTTAAAGACCCTTTAACAGAATCTTCTTCATTCTCCTCACACTCCCAAGATGAGCTGAGGCAAACTTTGAAGTATAATTAAAGCTGTATTTGAACATCACTTGAATTTCATTTGTGCATTTTGCACCTTATTCTTTTTGGTGTTTAACCACTTTCAAGACATCCTTGGGCTTCCATTGCCATGGACCACCCAGAACTGCATTCCCTGATCTCTCTGTCCTTGTTCTGGTTATGTCGACTTTTCCCTTCTCCCTGGTTTATCCCCCTAATTACCTGAGTCCATTCTGTCAGGTGATATCCAGTGAAAAGGTAATGTGCATAGTGGCAAAGCCCAGGGAGTCCTGGGTATAAATTTTTACTTTGCCATTTCCTACCTGTGTGACTTGTGCCATGGGGATTCACTTTTCTGGGTTCCAGTTCCTCATCTTGTACATGACACCATTTTCCTGGGACAGTTATTATGAAGCTAATAGAAAGTACCTATGCTGTGGTTTGAATGTGTCCTCCAAAAAGCATGTGTTGGAAACTTAATCACTAAAGCAACCATATTGGGAGGTGGAATCTTATGACAGGTGTTTAGGACATTAGGGTTCCAACTTTATGAATGGATTAATACTGATTATAGAAGGGCTTGAGGTTGAGCCCTTGCCCTCACTCACCTACTTGCGTTAAGTACTAAGTCAATTAGGTTCAGGAGTCTGGTGGGGCACTTTTAGAAATTACAATAATAGGGACTCTCAGGAGGTAGGATTTTGTTTTTTCTTTTTCTTTTTTTGAGAAAGGGTCTTACTCTGTCGCCTAGGGTGGAGTACAGTGGCATGATAATGGCTCACTGCAGACTTGCACCCAAGGCACAGGTGATTTTCCCCTCAGTCACCCGAGCTGCAACTACAGGTGAATGCCACCACACCTGGCTATTTTTGCCCAGGCTTGTCTTGAACTCCTGGCCTCAATCCACCCAACTTGTCCTCCCAAAGTGCTGGGATTACAGGCATGAGTCACCGCGCCCAGCCAGTAGGTAGGATTCTTGCTCCTAATGCATGGCTCTTGCGGAGTTTGGGAACAAGGAGAGTGGTTTATCTTTTCCTGATTCCCTTCAGTTGAATGAACAGAGATAGGTAATTCAGTTTGAATAAAAAAGAGAAATTGCCTCCACTTTGGTAGTTATGCTGCATATTGGTGCTATTGGTACTACTGTTGATAGTTACAGTCAGTATTGGCAGGCTACAATCTGCAGCTAGCTGTTATAAAGTGCTTAGTACAAAGAAGGGATTTATCAGAAGGGATAACTCTCTTGGCTAGTTATTTCACACTGACAAAATGGATGTGAGTGGATTTGTTTTCGTTATAAAAATCAGCTCTGTTCAACAAAAACAGAATGAAAGCCACATGTGCAATTTAAATGTTTCCTGAAGCCATAGTAATAATTTTTTTAAAAACAAGTGAAAAATTTTAATAATATATTTTATTTAACCCAATATAGCTAATATATAAGCACTGCCACATGTACTCAATATAAAAAGTATTCTTTACTTTTTACATTTTTTATACTAAATCTTTGAAACTTGAAGTGCATTTTATATTGAGTTCCTCCCTTGCTGTAGCCAAATTAGTCTCACTTTTCTCACCTTAAAATGGGAGAGAAATTGAACCTACTCACAGGATTGCCGTGAGGACGGAGACCTGTAAACATCTATT